TGTAATTTTGAATGCCAAAATCCCAAAATGTTTTTTTTCTTTTTTTCTGTTTTTTTTTTTTTTTTTTTTTTTTTTCTTTTTTTTTTTGAGACGTTCTCACTACATAGCCCTGACTGGCCTGGAATTCACTATATAGACTAGGCTGGCATAGAACTAGAGATCTGCCTACTTCTGCCTAATGAGTGCTGGGATTAAAGATGTGCCCCACCTCCATGCCCAGCTGAGGACTCATTTTTTTTAAAGGCCTCCATACAACCTTCCAGACTGGCTGTACCATTTAGCACTCCTAGCAGTGTATGAGTGATCATTTATTCTCATCTTTACCACTGTTTTATATTACTGATATGTCTTATTTTAACCATTTTGGTAAGTGTGGGGTTATATTTTGTGTTTTCAATTTGCATTTTTCTAATAGCAAGTGGTGTTAGACATCTTTTTGGATACTACTTTACCTCTTCAGTGAAGTGTCTGTTTTAATTGGATTTTCCTGTTAAGTTTGTATGTGTGTGGTGTTTGTGAGCATGTGCGTGCACGTGTGTGTGTGTGCGTGTGTGCGTGTGTGTGCATGTGCTCATTAGTGCAAGCATCATGGAGGCTAGATGTTGATGTTGGGTAGCTTCCTCTGTGGGTCTCTACAATATTTTTTTCAGACAGAAACTTGCTGACTCTGGAGCTTGCCATGTTGGCTAGACTAGTCAGCCAGCCCCTTGGGACCTTGCAGGTGTGTGCTGCTGAGCTTGGCTTTTATGTTGGTGCTGGGGAGCTGAACTTGGGACCTAATGCTTTCACAGCAAGCCTTTTACTCACTGAGCTATCTCTGTAGTCTGTTAAGTTTTAAGAATTTAAAAATTATACATGTGAATCCTTGGTCAGATATTTAGTTTGTAAATATTATAATTTTTAATTTATTTTACATTGTTTTCATATTTTTTCGTATAGAACAAACATTTTAAATTTTGACAAATTCATTTTTTTTTGTTTTTGTTTTTTTTCTTTTATAGACCTTGTTTCTTAGTCCTAGATCTTGATATTTTCTTCTGTGGTTTTGTCCTCAAATATTTGTAATTTAAATTTAGGCTTAAGGTACTGGGGAGATGGTGCTTTGGGTAAAGAGCTTGCCATGAAGTATGAGGATATGAGTTCGAATCCATAGAATCCATGTACATCTAGGTGCACTGGTGCTTCTGGGGAGAGATGGGAGTTAGATACAGGAGAATTCCAGGAAGCTCATGGGCCAGCTGGTCTGGCATATTTCCTGGCAAACAACAAAGAGACCCTGTCACAAACAAGGTGGAATGTGAGGATTGACACCTGAGGTTGTCCTCTGACCTCCATGTACACATTGGGATTTGTGCCCCCACACTCACACACACGAATGCACACTCACACACACATACACACATCATCCATGCACACATACCCTAAAACAAAATAACAAGCATATTTAGGTCTGAGACCCATTTTCAGTTCAGTCTGTATAAGGTGTGAGGTTTAGGTTGAGGGTCGCTGTTTTCTCTCTCCACGCGCAGTTGCTCCTGGCCACTTGCTGAAAAGGCTGCCTTTCGTTTATTGAATTGCTAGTCCCCTTTGTTGAAATCATTTGGATATATTCGTGTCTGTCTATTCCAAGGTTCTCTAGATGACTGGATTCTTTTTGATTGACTAAACAACGTGGCATTTATGTAGGTACTCCTGGCAGCGGTTTTCATAGTTAAGTGGATAAACCATAGGAA